GCTGTTGCTGCAACGGCTGTTGCTGTTGCTGTCGCACGTATCAGACTCTCAAGTCACAAATAATTAACAGCTCCTGTGTCAACAAGACGAGCGTGAGAGCGGAAGGGCCCGCGGGATGCCTTGTGGCCGACTGCCAGTCGTGGAGCGGTAATCTGTTTAAAGTATTTTGCAATTTATATAAAGCGATTGAAATTTTATTGAGCGCCAACAGTAGCCAAAGGAAAAATGAAGAAAGCAAGCGAAGGCAAAGTCCGCCCTCCTGTAGCTTCTGCTTCCGCAACATTTCTGCCTCGGAAATAATTTGATGGCGGCGCACTCGACGTATGCATACATATACGAATATTACATACACAATGTACGTATGTGTGTGTGTGTGTGTGCACATGCCATCATAATAAGCAGAATGTAGCTAGAGGCTATTTATTCAGGAGATGAATAAGTTAGAGCGCCTGCCCCGGCCACATCGATTTCTTGGCAGAGGGAGTGTACGGGATATGTGGATATGTGAGCGTGATTTATTCATTGTGAAGCGCAGTGCATGCAAATTTAAGACTTCAATTTGCAGTGCCTGCCAATGGCAGCAACAACAACAAAATGTACTTAAGTGAAATATGAACATTGCCGTAAACATGTTCATAAGTTTGCATCGCATCGCATCGGAAAATGGAAAAATAGCTGCCATCACGTCCAACAGGATGCACATGCGAGGCGCAGTCTCATCCATTGAGCAGCTGCTGCTGCCACCGACAGCCCCTGCTCTAAGTCACTTGTAATCAAGTTTCTCTATCGATGCACATCATTTGTTTTCCATGTGACTCAGATTGTGCTCGATCTGCAGCGAGCTCTTCAGGCATTCAACGTCCGGGCAATGGCGAACCGAAAGAGGCTTAAAAATAATATTATTCGCATCAAATATTAAACGGGCAACCCTTTTACGGCATCCCTGCCCCCTGCCCCGATAAAGGAAGAGCTTCATTTTTACATTAATATTTACCTCATTCAATTAATTATTCTTAAAGGGCAGCAGCTCTCGCACTGGTGTGCTTTAACTTTCGGTTTCTGGCAGTCACGCCCACATAAATACAGCCCATGGCTGCAATGTTGACAGTGCATGACTCCCATAGATAGATCAGCCAGATATTTCGACTAAATGGAAAAAACATAAACAGACGCAGAGCAAATAAAGTATTAAAATGTTTTATAAATATTCATGCTGCGCTGACTCCTGTTATGGTTGGCATGAACTAAAAAAACAAAGACGAAAACAAATTCAACTGGCCTGCACTATCTCTGTTCAGCCACGCCCACCAGCCCACACGGTAATTGAATTAAGCGCAGAGCGAAGCACGGCAATTGTCAGCAGAAAAAACTTTGTATAAATTAAAGTTGAGAGTGCGAGCACAGAAATGATAATATAAACAAATAGCAATGCATGTGCCATAAGTTGTGGACTATGAGATACCCTGTACGGCAGTGATGGTAGGTCGGTGTTGAGTCTGCTGAGCTGACACCATTTCAGTTTTGCAAGAGAGAAGGGACTACAAAGTTGCATAAGCAATATAAATATACATATATATATATAAACAATACAAATATATATGTATATAATTTAACAGCACAAACAAATGCAGAATTGGTATTTCAAATTTCTCACCAAGTGACAAACTGAATGCAAATTTATTTTTAAATAAAGCGGCACAAAAGTCAAATTGGTTCAGTGTGTCCTTTTCTTTTCTTTTTGTCTTTTTGTTTGCCATTTGCCTTTGTAGCGTGGCTTATGCTTGCCGCTTTTTATGGGCCAATAGGGCTTTGAGGAGCCGTCGGGCTGGGGTGACTGATAAGCAAAAGGGTCGCAATTAGCCGATGTGCCTGCGCCGTGTTGAGTCCAACAAAGCTCTTTGGTATTGGAGCACGTTCTCAATTCGCTATTAGGTTTCATTGGACGGCAGCAGCAGCAGCAGCAGCAGCAGGAGCAGCAGGAGCCCATTTACGGCTCTGCTTTGTTCGGCCCGGATTTCAGAGCTCAGGCGGGCTGAGCGGGGCTGGGCGAGACTGGGTCAAATCGTAGAACTTTTGTTCATTCGATACGCATAAAAATCAAACTACAATTAGAAACAGACTCCGAGTCACTATGGGGCTCCACTTGGGGCTATTAAACGAAAGCCCAGACACACACACACACACACACACAGACGCACACATAGTGAGTGATGGCCTGAGGCTAGTAGAGACTTTGGCTTATAATGCTTATACAGCAGTATATGAATAGCCGGCAGTGGACCTCGGTCAGCTGGACAGATGGCATTGTTTGTTTGCTTTGTCTGAGGCAACGTATCAAATTATCTATTTACGTACAGGACTAGCCATGTATTTACAGCTTAACTAACAGCAGGATAAACATTCGGGGCTCAATCAAACTGCTGCTGGCAGTCGCAAATATATATTGACCAAGTCGGATGGGCCATAGTTTGTCGGTTTGTCGGCTCGCATTGTTGGCCTCTTTTGTGATTTATTTGGCTAAGCCGTCGCAAAGCCAAGCAGTCCAAGAAATCCTGCACACAAATAATGCCAAAGCCTCAAATGCTAATCAACTCCAGTCCGGCTATGTATTGAATATAGTATGTATGTGTATGTATGTATGTATGTATGTATGTGTATTAGATTCACCGCTGGACACTTCATTTGCCATGGAGCCGAAGTGCCGTGCCGTGTATCATTCCATTGGATGAGACGCACGAGCGCGCAGCCGACACGCCTGCCAGATTCCTGCAGCCTAGGCGACAGCCGGTTGACACATGCGGGTCATCGGGCAAACGGTAGCAAAATGGGAAATACGCCCCCTGGGTCGGCTTAAATTTTTAGTGCAAATGGGTTAATTAGCTGATTTAGTTGAAGCTCTTTAAGCGGCCACAGCCTTATTAATCACCTACATAAGCACTCGAGGCATAACACTGGGCTGTGATCCCCCATTTGGTAGAGCTATAAATTGCACATCATTATTTAAATGTGAGCAAACACACACACACACACACACACTCGCACACTCGCGACAGGCACAGACATGTTCTAGGCATTGTAAGCTGATTGCGGCGGCATTTATGGCTGCCACGCCCACACCGCTCGACTGTCGGCGTCTGTGGCATGCTTTCTGTCGCTCATTAAAATTCGCATTCAAACATTTTACAAATGGGCATTAACAAACCTTTTACGTGGGCGTCTTTAATCACACGGATTTTGTGGCCATACGCAGCACATCCCGTTCCATCCCATTCCTGTCCAGGTGCTGCTGCTGCTTCTTCTTCGCCGTTTGAGTGGTTTGATAAAGTTCCCTTGGCGCTGCCTGAGTGCCGCCCTCAGAGATGCCGGCGCATAAATCGAGCGGAAGCGCATGCATAATAAGAGCCGAGTTCCGTGTTCCGAGTTCCGAGCTCCGAGCAACGCAATGCTTATGGCCTACGGCCAATTGCCAAGTGAGCCGCACTCGTATTGACCATGGCCATGAACTTTATTTGTGCATAGCCCTGCTAGGATTACGTAATGAAGGCTCTGCCAGACAAACGTCTCAAAATGAGTTCACACAGTGCCTCCTGCTGCTTGTCGCTCGAGCACTTGACATTGCCCATCATCGCCGAGATGAGCGCGTCCTTGGTGGGACGTGAACGTGCGCGAGGGCGTGGGCGTGAGCGTAGGCGTGGTCGTGCTTAAGCTGCTTAAAGTGCAGCAAGTTAGGCAATTTGCATTTGCAATTCGTAATTTTTGACCATGACGGGGCTGTCGTTACAGTGATTACCAAAGCGCTAAGCTGAGACTCCGACTTCAGAGCTGAATGGGTCTTCAAACAATTGGCGGGCAAAGTTTGTGTTTGGCTGGGACAAAAGTTTCATTTGGTCGCCTGGTGTAGTTTACACCAGCTAACCGCTGCCGTCAACGAAATTTTAACTTTATTTAGAACTCATTAAAAACTTTTGCATAATTGCATAAATTTGCAAAGTCAATGGAAAACTTTAGGTAAACGCGTCGCTGCCCAAGACAACAGCAACAGCCGCCGCCCACCACTTCGAGCAGGGGGCGCGGCAGCTGGCTGTTAACTGCAAGTATTTAAGCAAGAATTTATGTTGTACGGCAACTGCGGACGTAGATAACAAAATTGCCTAATCAAATTTCGCAACTTCACAATCTACCAAAGATTCGCCAGAATCAAAATCAAATTTCTCCGCAATTGCTGCAGACATAAAAGGTAAATCGGTTGGCATTGAGAAGTTTCGTTATAGCATTTCAGCACTGTTAAGCAGAAAATGACATCAACATTTGGCTGTCAGTGCTCTTAGCTAAGACTCGAATAAATCAAGTCAATTGTAATCTTACGAATATCTGTTCCAGCCGAGCAATGCCGTGCAGTTTATTTGGTTTATTTAGTTACAAGTTGACACATACATACATAGTTATGTAAATGTGTGTGTCTGCATATCCCCATAGGAATGTTAAGGCAACAGCATCAGTGCAAAGCTTTTAACAGCAGTCTCTTCAGAATTAACATATTCTTATTAGCTGATGTCAGCACCCAAAGCTTTCTTAACAGTGCCCGACAATGTTACTCAATCGTGGTGCCCGACTAACATTAAAAGCTTTTCTAGTATAAAGCTCAAGCTGAGTTTCTGAATGTGCTGGGATTGCGATGCAATGGTTAGCAGATACTTAGCGAATAACTTTATGCAGCTTTTACATAGATTTTTATACACTAACGTAATGCATAATTAGGGTATATGAAATTCGCGCAAGTTAACAGGAGAAGGACAAGAAATACTAGCTTTGTAATATTAAAACTCTTCTTCTCCTTATGCCGGCTTCGCCTTCTACTCTGGATCTTACATTAATTACCATTCGACATGCAGGAGTTTGGAGAAAGGATGATCACACTCGAGACATAAAATACAATAATTAAAAGAAAAATTAGCATATCGAAATTGTATCTGCTTATTGTAAAGTTAATTATCACTTGATGATGATTTCCAAATAGTATTTGCGAGGCTTTATATAAAACATACTATATAATCTATAATCTATATCTATTTTCGATATTATAGCTAAATGTATTTGTACAAAACATTATGCTTAAGCAATGAAGTTGACTTTGAATTGTTGCTGCACCCGAGCTTCGATTTAAAATACAAAATTTACCACAATAAGCTAAAGCCTAAAAGTATGCTCATACCTCACATAGTCTTACTTAAATAGCTCATACACTCATCACGCTCTGCCCTAGAAATATACCGACGAATCGGTGGAAACGGACAGCGACGTGCCACGCGGCGCCGCCAGCTTGGCCACCGACTGCGAGCGCTTCTCGAAGCAGCTGAACGTGTACCAGTGATCGTTCATGCCAAACTGCTCGGCGTCCTCCAGGCTGGCCGGCAGCGTGCGATTCAGTGTCTCCGGCAGCAGCAGCGTCAGGCAAGCGCCCAGGAACGAGATCACGCCGAGGATGATTTCCGGCAGCGGCGAGAACACCGAACGCGTATCCAATATGTACACACTGAGGAATGTGAAGGCATAGCCCATGACATGCACCGCGCCCACGCCCTGGCCCCGCACACACGTAGGAATCAGCTCCGTGGCGTACTGGGCGCCCGAATTGTAGGCCACCGTGACTCCAAAGCGTCCAATCACCGAGAGCGTCACCAGCACAGTGGTTGCTGTTGGGATGAGGAAGAGGAGATGAGATGATGCAGTGGAAGTAAGATGAAGTGAGAAATAATTAGTTAGACATATTTAACAATTAAGAGCTCAACATATGTCGTGTAGGGAAAATTACTAACTAACTAATTAATTAACTAAAGCTCTGGCAAAGTTTAAGTAAAAACTCAACTACGAGTTAAGTAAATAATAATAAGAAAAAGCAAAAACCAAATATTGTATTTTAGACCGTGTGCAGCTTTTTTGGGAACTGGTTTGCCAGCATTAAGTCTTGCTTCGACTTACTCTGATTGCTGGCAGTGCCTGCGGCGAAGAGAACAATGCCCGTTACCGAGATGAAAATGCCACTGAGGAGCAGTGTGATGGAAGTCATTGCCTTGCGTCCGATGCGATCTTGCAGAGCAATGATCAGCAGGCAGGCGGGCAGAATTGTGGTGGCGCTCAGTGTGAACATCAGAAATGGCGAAATGCCAAGGCCTTGGACGTTGCGAGAGACGGCATCGTAGCACAGGGTGATGACCATGCTGGGCGAGGGCGAGCGCAGAGATAGAATCAGATTGAGACTGCAGTGGGCCGAGAGCGGGCTACTCACGATTTAAAGAACAGTATGAAGGTGTTGCGGCGCAGTCGGGGCGTCTTGAAGAGTCCCAGCATGTTCTGCTTGCTCGTTTGCAAGTTTTTCTGGCTGATTTTGCAGTCCTCGATGAACTGCTCATAGACGCTGTCATCGATCTGACGGCCATTGATCTTGGCCACTCGCTTCAGACAGGCCACAGCCTTGTCGTACTTCTGCTTCGAGATCAGCCACTGGGCGCTCTCCGGCACAACGAAATAGAAGAGCGGCACCAGGCCCAACGGCAGCGCGGTGACAAGTAGAAAGGTGCGCCAGTTGCCCACGAGCACGGCTATCCAGGGCACGCCCATGGAGCCCAGGCAGTAGAAGATGCCGATGCAGATGCTCAGGCCCAGAGTGCGCATGGATGGACGCATGTACTCCATGACTGCAAGATCCAATTGAGTTGTATTTCAATTCTTCACTCTAATCCCTCCACTCACCTAGAATGTACATCATCAGAAAGTTGGCGTCGGTGGCGAGTCCAGCGATGAATCGGAAGACGCAGAAGAGCGCCAGGTTCTTGCTGAAGATTGTCAGCAGGTTGCCGAGCATGCCGATGATGTTGGCCAGGATCAGGATGGGCAAGCGACCGACTTTGTCAGCGAGGTAGCCCAGACCCAGGGTGCCCACCACGGAGCCCACGAAAAACATGGACTGGCCCAGGCTCAGCTTCCATGCATCTTGGCAAATCCAGTGCATTTCGTTGCTGAAGCTCTGGTAGCCCATGTACGGCTCATAGCGGTAGCTGTGGCACGTCGCAGGGTGGCTCGCATTGGTGCTCAGCGGTTGGCAGCTGGACTCGCTTGGTGTCGGTGCTGTCGGGTCATCCGCACACCTGAGCGTGGGAGGGATAAATATTGAGTATACGCCACGTTATTTGCTTGCATTCAATATATATACCAATACTTGGGCACGATGCTGATGATCGTCTGGGAGTAGTAGTGCATGGCCGAGAGCAAGTTGATCAGCGAGAATAGCAGCAGCATCAGCCACTGCAGTCGCCCAAAGTCGCCGCACTTCTCCAGAATTTTGTCCACCTCGAGCATTGTGCTATCGCTTCTGTGCACTGCAATCTATTCACGCTCTCACTTATTGCCTCAAGTACCTCTGTCTGCACTCTGCCAGCAGAATGAATAGCTTTATTCTCTGAACTTATCCCTGGTAAGCCAACGGCCGCACTGTGTCACACTCTTGGAATATGCCTTACATCTTACTCAATTTAATTTGCCTCAAGGTTTCTTAATTAGTGCATTCAATTATCTTTCTCTTTGTCACGTCATGACTTATCTTTGCAAATAAAGAAAAAATAAAAAAAAGTCCATAATTTAAGTTGAATTTTACTGATTGATTTTACTAAGCTGTGTGGCACAGAGGATTTGCTTTGCCTTCAATTATTAATTATACAAATTTTGCACATATTCGAAGCTCTTTCTTGATTACTGGCAACCCTTCCACTGGATTAGCTACAAATATCCGCTTTATATATACCAACTGCTCGAAAGGTTGTGACCTACGATATTGTTGCAGTCGGAACTCTGTGCTTTGTACTTGGATTGATAAGCATTTGAATTGACTTAGAGACAGAATCCCAAGATTAATATCATTGTTTATGACACTCCATCATCTAGTCAAAATATTCATCATTTGCTAATTACGAAAGGGCGATAATTTAACGAGAAAATATACTTTTTTAAAGTTATTAATATCTTACTTTAAGCTATGAACTCCTCTGCCACATATCCGATTGGAACTGACTGTAATAACACTTGTTAAATCAAGTTTATCTGCTCGGTAATACTCAAACTTTGTTACGTATGGAACTTTGTATGACTGGGCCGACTTATCGAATCGCCACATGAATAAGAAATGGTTACGTAGATCGTATTTTGCTTCTCGCACCGAAATCGACGATAAGAAACAGATTTTCTGAAACACATCTGAAACAGCTGAGGGCCGTTCGAATTGAACCCGCACTCGGGAGAGGCCGCCACAGCTGCTACGTTGATAATTCGATCAGAATACTTGAAACGCGAACTGCAGCACGCCGAAGTCAAGTTTGAAATGTCGAGTGGTCGCGCACGGACCCGGACCCGGACCCAGACCCGGACCCGGCCGACTCTCAGCCGAAAACAAATGCATTGCATTGGATGTGACGCTGTTTCGTTTGAAATAGATAAATATAGATTTTGTCCGTTGAAATTGGCGAGCTCGAAATTATTTAGCATGCGATGCGATACGTTCACAGTTATTATATAGCTAACAGTATTTATGCGTGCGTATCGGTGTCGACTCGACAATTTAATGCCGCCCACCCGCTGCATTCTTTTCATTTGCAAGCTGTCAAGGCCGAGTAAACAAGCTGCTAGCAAACCAAAAATAAGATGCAGGCATTCATTTGTTGATCTGATAATAACAATATATATATGTATATGCATATAAATGTAAAAGCTTTTCTATAAATTTTTATCATCAAGTCGAAACCTACCGACTGCAGGATACCTATTCACGGTCAACACGCTGACAGTCTCAAAATATTTCAAGACACTAATTTTTCCGATTTGCCCAATTCGTATATATATGTATGTAACTCTGATCAGAGCAATTTAAACAGTAATTTTGTTGTTAAATATCGTTTACCTGATTTGTGCAAGCTATCAATAAGTAAAACTTTACCAGTATCAAACCAATATACTCATTTCACTTGCATGAATGAATACAAAAATTAACTCATAAGGTTCGCTATTCACATTATTGGTAACTCACTTTGAAAGTCAACATTATGGAATGGAATGTGATACCTAAATCTCGCCTAGATCTTAGACGAATGGCTGCATCCTTTCGATAGGAATCGGATGATTCGTATGAGTAAAATATGCAGTACGAACTTTTCAGTTATTTTAAAAATCATTGAACTTTGCTTAGTTATTTATTTCGGTCTGCTTTTTACTGTTCCGGCTCGAAATTCTTATTCTAATGTTTGTGTTTGCTCAACTGAGTTGTCAAAATACATCCAAAAGATTTCGTGATAGTGTTCATTCGTGTCAATATAATAATATTCGTGTTTAATCAGGTGTCACTCACAGCAAATATTGAGTCAATTTTGGGTTGCCCTCCACGATTATTTAAAAGACGGTTAAAGCTTTACAAATGTGAAAATAATAGGATGTTTAAGTCACGGCACTGTTTACTAACAATCTGTATAATCTTAAGCAGTTAATATTCAGACTTTTCATATAAGAGCAGCTCGTTCGATATTCAATGAAATTACACAAATTGACTGTCAGCACACAATACATACATAGTATGTGTGTGCCCTGAAGACTGCAAAAGAAATTTTAAATTTCAGCTTAAGAACATTAAATTGTCGTCGATGAGATCTTTTCTCGCTTGGGACACAGGGAAAAGCACTGGCCAGGCTTGACGAAAATTTCCGCCTCCGCCAGGTTTTCCGGCAGCTTTCTGTAAGTCAGAAAATAAGAAATTCAAGTGAATAATTAGTATAGAGGTGAGCAGCGCACCTGTTCAGAGTTTCTGGCAGAGTTAGACAGAGGCCAGCGCCGACGAACATTAAACAGCTTATGAATATGGATGGCAAGGGCTTATAGAACTTGGCCAAGTAGATCACGTAGAAGACCAGTGAGTTGGATGCTAGGCCAACAACGTGTATGTTGGAGAGAGCTCGCCCCCGTACGCTGGTCGGTATTATCTCGGCTGCGTATTGGATTTCCGCATCGTAGGAGACCGTCACGCCGTAGCGACCCAGGCCAATCATGACGGCCAGCAGGAGCGCATTTTCCTTCGGGTCCAGGAACGCAATCAGGAAGCCCGTCACTGTGGTTATGATGCCGCCCACCAGCAGCGCGCCACAGGCCATGCCCTTCCGTCCGATGTTGTTTTGGAGCAGCAGAATGGTCCAGCCCGCTGGCAGGTAGTTGATGGAGGTGTAGGAGAACAGCTTGAAGGGCGAAGTGCCCAGCCCCTCCATATTGCGGTTGATCACATCATAGGAGAGTGTAATGATGACGCTGAATAGAAACACATCATCAAGAGCTGCCACTAGGAGCTCACCAGCTAGAACTCACGATTTCAGCAGCAGGGAGAGCGTGCAGCGTCTCAGATGCGGTGTTCTGAACATGCCCATAAAGGTGTCCTCATCGCTGGTCAGCTTGAGCTCTTCGTTGCCCTTCTCGCGATAGTACTTGACGAACTCGTCGAACACAGAGTCCTCCACCTGCCGCCCGTTGAACTTGGCTACCCATTTCAGGCACTGCACGGCCCGCTCGTACCGCTTCTTTGTGAGCAGCCACTGGGCGCTCTCGCAGATGAACAGCGGGTAGGCGAGCACCCCGAGAGCGGGCAGCGATGCCAGCCACAGGTAGTGCCGCCAATTGCCTATCCAGATGGCCAGCCAGGGGGAGGTCATCAGGCCGAAGCAGTAGAAGAAGGCGAGGATGATGTTCAGCCCAAAAGTGCGGCGCTTGGGACTGAGGTACTCGAATACTGACCGCATGTAACCGTATGTTCGTATACTGTCATACAAGACTGTAGTCGAGATACTCACCCAAAATGTACATTAGATAGTACATGGTGTCGGTGGAGAGTCCGGAGACAAAGCGGGAGAACGCAAACAGTGGAAAGCCATAGACGAACGAGGTGAGAAAGTCTCCCGATGCTCCGGCTAATGTGGCCAGCAGCAGCGCCGGCAGACGTCCAATGCGATCGGATAGATTTCCGAATATCACAGTGCCCACTACCGAGCCAATGAAGAAGAAGGACTGTCCCACGGCCGAGTGATGCGACTTGTCGCAGACCCATTTCAGCTGCAATGAATATTAGCCAATTTCGCAAAGTCTTGAGCGAGGAGTCCTGCTCACCTCGGTGGTGATGCTCTCGTAGCCCTGCTCTCGCATGAATATCCAGTTCTGGCAGTGTCCACTGCTCGCTGCGATGCCAGTGCCATTGACCACTCCCTCCAGCAGGGTGCAGGACTTGTGAGTCACGTTCGCGTATATCTGGCGAAGATCTGAGGAGTTCAGATTCTTTAGATCGTCATGGTAGCACCTAAACCAAGCGCACTATTAAATACGGCTCACGAACCGAATCTCCACGCCTTACCAGTGCTCCGGGGTGAATGTGATCAGAGTTTGCGAAAAGTAGTGCAGCGAGCTGAGTATGTTCGTGTAGCCATAGAGCAGCAGGATCACATGTTGAAAGCGCCCGAACGCTCCGCAAGTCTCTAGTACGCGGCTGAAGTCCATGTTCGCATCGGCCGGACATCTACTTACAAGTTTCATTTATGGACTGACCAAATGCGACGAGAGTTGCCGCTTAAACACTCAATCAGCGCCGTAAAATTACAAGCGAGCTATCACTGTGGCACATGTTTTACACTAATAAAAACAGCTGACCCACTTTGGCAACACAGCGTCAACTGCTTTCATATCCATGGGATGGGACTCAGGCAGTTACAATATTTTCTAGGGCATCATAAAACATATTTTTCCATTCCACTCATTTCCCAAGCCACATTACATCGTCAATGAGCATTGGGAACGACTGAACAGTTTGACTATATATATTATATGTATTTGAAAATCAAAATATTATTTGAATCAAGATTTATTTAATTTAATGTGCAACTTTAAGGAGTAAATATATAAATAAATACAAAATACAAAAATTCAATAAATGTTTCCAATCAAGCTGAAGGTGAATAATAATAATTTACTGCTTATTATATATGTGTCTATGCTTTTTATATTAGCTGGAATTTAGCTGAAAATATATCTCTAATTAATTCAATCAATATTCAATCAAACTCTTCTCTTTATGCCTTGAACTCATTTAAATTGGAAAAACTTACATTATTGCTTTGGTGCCACAGTCAGTGGGAGGCATGGCTGACCTCCTTCTAACTGATCAGGATGTTGATCTAACTCAATTTAGCGAAACTTTAAAATTTTGATATGAGTCTTTGATATCACACGCTGCGTATATGCATAACAATATTTTATAAATAATTTAAAATTATTTAGATAAGTTTAGATTTGCATTAGATTGCGGTATAATTTCGACCAATTCCCACATATTAAAATTAAGTAAAATCGTTTGTCAAAGTGTAACTACTTTTATTATTATTAAGCAAGTGCATCTAGAGCCAAAGTTATGAAACAATTAATTTTCCACAAAAAAAAAACAGAGTCGACCACAGCCCAAGCACAGCTGCTGCAGCCACATTTAAGTGTGTGTATGTATGTGTGTGCGTGCACAAATGTAAGTGTACGTGCTCTCTATCGATGCGCAAAGGTGTCGCAGAGTGTCTCCCAGTTGGGCAGCCCGGACTTGCATTACATATAGTTGTAGTCACACTGTATGATGTATATTATGTGAAGGGCGATGCCGCTTACGAGTGGAATGAACAGTTGCAGATTTATCTTGAATAAGCCAAAGATTTTGATGCTCGTATCTTGGAAGGCCAGCTGCAAGCCCAGCCAGTCGCTCTACGGAAGAGAAATCATTGGGATAAAAGCATAAATATGAATCGTGGCACTTACACTGCGCTCCACTAGATCCGAATCGCAGAGGGAGGCGCGCAGCTCATGCAAAGTGTACTCATGAATTCTACCAATCATGCTAGCGATGAGAGCAAAAAGGTAGAGCTCCAAGAAATAGTTGATGTTTACCAATAGCGTGATCCATTCCCCGAGAGGTTTGCTGTTGTCCGAGTGATTGCCGACCAGCAAGCGGTAATAGGAGCATCCAGTCACACAGCTCATGCAAACTAGAATCAGCAACATGCAGGCCAGCGGATATTTAAAAACTTCGCAATAGTCCCTTGTCATTTGAATGAGTCTATAGTACATGCGATGCACTTCCAACATTTTCTGCTCCTTCTTTGACTTTCTGGGTATCGGCGAGGCGTACAACTGATTTATGTAACGCTGCAGTTTCATGAGGGTGTAGCACATTTGCCAGATTATAGTGAATGTCAGGAAATACAGCTCGTCTACGATAGTTTTGGAGCCAAGAGCGCCTACAAAAATGTAAAGGCCATCGACTGCAGTGAATGCGTATATAATGAAAGCTACGGTGCGTGGGACTTGCAGCAGCAATCTGAGCCAGAATAACAGTTGGAGATGCGACTTCTCCAATGGTGTGACGCAATAGTGAGATTCGGCTATGAACCTCTCTACCTTCAACAGAGCCTGGAGCATATTAAATATCCTTTGCTGCCAACGCTGCGCACAGTAAACACAGCTCACGAAGCCCAGCCACCTGATGTACGGATAAACGGCCAGCAGGAGGGCCATTACGTGCGAGCGAGTAAGGTAATACGCATTCGATGAACTGAACGCAATCGTCCTATAAGAGACGACTAGAAGCGAAATTAAGCAAAAGAGTCTGGTGTAAATGCACAAGACGCGCGACCTTATCAAACTTCCAGTGCGGATATCAAAATAGAATTCAAAGATTCCACTGAAGGCAAAAAAATACGCTAGCCATGCGTAGGCAGTGTGCGTTCCCGAAGACATTTTCACCACAACTGCAACTGCATTAAGCGAATTAACTGGTATGAAATCAATTGGAAATGCGTATTTGAATGTTGCGATAAGGGAATGAAAAGTGGAAAGCAAATAGAAAAGACAGCTTGATGACTTCAAGCGATACTTGTTGTCTGCCACACAAACCATTTAGACCCGATGTCACAGATAGTCCGATATAGGCGAGAATAAGCCATAAACGTAATAGTTTTAAATGGCAGCTGTGCCGGTAACTGTCACAGACCAGGTTAAAAATATTAAGGAATTCTGCTTGTTTATATGCTTGAAATGTTTCTCTTAGCGGTTAATAAATAAATATATTTATGTATCCGAATACCAATGGAGTGGTTCTCTTAGTGGTAAATGCTTAATAAATTAATAATTGAATATAAAATAATAATAGAGAAATTCGAATACCAACTAGATCTTTTAGTCTTCTAGTGTAGTTCAGCGTTAAATTTTCACTCACAATATTAATCTGAATAGATCAATTATATCATGCATATCAATCATATCAATAGACTATATATACTCACTCTGTGATATATTAACTTATTCATCGTTTTTTTTTTTTTTTTTTGCTTTCTTCAGCTCGTTACAGAGTTTCCCATTAAACCTTGACTGGACTTGCACAACATGAGAAGGAAACTGCAAATCGATATTGTCTTTTGATCCATTGTTTTGATCAGTCGAATAGCGGCACGACTGCTTGCTGTATTTGTCACATACCAAACTGGATGTGGTCTACAATGGCTGGTACTGTCAATGGATTTGCAGATCTGTGGCTTGCAACAAATTTGCTATCATAAATTAAGTGCACTCAGTGAACATGATACAAGTGACATTATTCGTTCTGGCTAACAGCTTCGAGTTGGCATGGCATGGCATGGCTGGGCAGAGCGGGGGTGCTGCATGGCTATGTGAGCGAGTCAGGGCACAAATGTGCCGTTGCCTAAGCTGTGGGCAAGTTGACCTTTCGCTTTTTGTGTCTGGCGGCTGCTGGAGCGAAGCTTTTGGTTTCTTGTAATTTAATTGTCGACTGCCTGACCTTTTGCGCATGCGCGAAGCTGTTGCTGCTACTGCCGACTGCCGACCGCCGACTGCCGGTTGCCATTTCATTTGGAATTGAATATCTAACGGAGCTGGCACTAATTACAAACGCTTAAGCCTGGTCAAAGTCCTGGCCTATAATAAATTAACATTTCAATTGTGTGTGCAGCGTGCTAAACGTTCACACAATTGCCGAAAATCGCAAAAAGTGAAAGGGCAACAGCAAGCGGCTCTACCCAGGTCCCTTTAGTCGGCTAAGCGGAAGAATAACCTTTCTAAGCCGCTGCAGCGAAGTTGAACCCAGACACACGATTCGAATCATAGCCAGGTGGCTGCCCAGTCTTACTTATGTATATATACTAGCTTGTTGTTGTTGTTGTTGTTGTTGTGGTTGCTGTTGCTGTTATTGGCTGTTGCGCGCCATGTGGCATGATCAGTGCGGGACTGTTAACTGGTCTCTCAGCGCTCAGCGCTCAGCGTTCAGCGTTGATCTTCAATTAGTTTATTGTTCGCTTGGTCTTTTGCGCCATGTGAAGCAGGCGACATTTGCCGCCAGTTTTTACTATAAATTGCCAGAACGGCATCGAAACGTTTGCAGTTGTTGTTTCTTCTTCTAGTGCGCCTCGTCGTTGTGCTCCCATCCAAAAGTCGGTTAGCCACATTCCAAGTGGTGTTCGGTGCTTGGATCAGTTAAAGGATAGACAAGTGGAGAAACGCGCTAGGACATCGACGCGCTGCAATGCTAAAGGTGTGATCTAAGAGATGCACAGAAGATGCTTAAATAATGCAGAAGTCAATTACATAATTCTGTGACAATCAAATTATGCCTATGCTATATGGGAGCTAATCATTTGATCTTGTCTTCCTTGTAGATATTTCTGCTGAGCGCTGCGCTGGGCATTGCCTGTGCTGGCGTTATAGGACCTGGGCCGTACTATGGCGGTCTAGGGGGACCCCTGCACACCTATGCCGGCTATGGGCCACACCACGGGCCACCGCAATACGCAGCACCAGGTGAGCTAATGAGGAAACTGAGAAAGTTTGCGTGATTGAGTTCCGTGTATTTCTCCAGCACCCAAGCCCGTTGCACCGGAGCCGTACGATGCAGATCCCAAGTACTCTTTTGGATACGACATACAGGATGGCTATACGGGCGACCTGAAGAGCCAGCATGAGACACGCCACGGCGATGTGGTCAAGGGCAGCTACTCGGTTGTGGACCCCGACGGCACCAAGCGCACCGTTGACTACACAGCCGATCCACATCATGGCTTCAATGCGGTGGTACGTAAGGAGCCCCTGGCCTACAAGCCACTGGCACCACCCGCACCTGCACCACATGCGCTGCTGCCTGGACCCGCGCCTGAGTTACCAACCCAACAACACACACAAACACATATTCAATAATTCTTTGTACACACATAAGCACACACAAAAACACTCAAACACACACAAACACATATTCAATAATTCTTTGTACACACATAAGCACACACAAAAACACTCAAACACACACACAATTATAAAATACCTACACATAAGCATTGTACTCTTTGTAAGAAGATACGAAACAAAGAAACCAAAAAACTTAGAAATAAAGACTCACTTCTGTTTTGGCATTTGAATGAAGAGGACGTTTTATTAATATCTTGACACCTACATATATACGCCATCTAGCTCCCGATGGTAATTGGCGCAGCCGGTTGAGGAATGGATCTACTTATAATCATGCTAAGTATCATTATTTTTGTGAACTTCACTAAAGTGGAGTAACTGTTTATAAGATGCATTGCTAAATGGAACGGAATCAATCGCTGATATTCGTTACCACAGAAAAAAAAAAAAATATATATATATATATATATATATTGCAGTCTATGTATAAACATATACACATGTACCTAATTTTAAATAACAAATGTGTTGCGATTGGGCAGAATCAATCGTTGATAATTGCTGTTATCGCAACATTATTCATTAAAAATATATACATATGTGGATATGTATGCATATGAACATTTTGTGGTGTGATATATGAAATCAAACGCTGATCATCGTACTTCATACACAACAAACATTCATTCACAAACTCATGATGTGGTGGGGTGGAATCAATCACTGATAATCACTACTGCCACAGCATGATTAAACAACATAGTAATGTATTTGTGAATTTGTACATGCAGTACATATATGCAGACATACGTAACTAGAAAATCGTCTATTATTTCACAACTACATGAAATTTTAAGACACGCTATGAAAAATAAATAAAAAGCAGCAACGCCACAATTCTGCGTTTCGCCGCCGACCTAACGGAATCTTGAATTTCGGTCGTCACTCTCAACATTAAAGAGGCTCTGATGTCCGGCGCCACTAGACACGCGACAGAATTACAACGCTCAAAACTCAAGAAATTTCGGCCGACAATAACAAATCTATGCAACATACAATATATGGCGCCACTAATCTGTCTTTCGACGCCGCCACCGTCGCTTATTTCGGCGAAACGAAATATGCCTGGCGTCACACATTCGCACAACTACGCTACAAAATATGTAGTTTGTAGTGAAAGACACTATTCAATGAGCAACTCGCAAAACTACAAGATCAGTTGCGACACAGAGCTCAAACAGAAAAGACATACATACAGCTTACAAATAATCTCATAGTGCAGTGATAAATAGTCGTAATCGCTCATGTGAACAGAAAAGTCTATAAAATCAAACGTTGATAATTATATGACTTAACTGATCGGCTTTGGTAAAACACATACGCAAATTTTCATAGTATATATCATTTTCATTCTTACGTTGTTTTCCCCTACGGTGAATTAGATCCGATGAATTCTGGCGCAACAACTTTTATACCAACGCAGCATTCGTAAAACTGGTGTCAATACCACAAGCAATAGCATTTTATTAAGGAATGTCAAAGCGATATACACTTCGGCCAAGAACATCTACCAGGCAAATCATAAAAATAAGCGAAAACACAGTTTATCCTCCCAACGAAAACTCAATGGACTCCGGCAACGCCTCGGTATCACTTCCGTCTACTATATCGACTTCAAACGGTACACCTTCAACAATTAGCATGGATAACACTCCAACAACTGTAACCCCAACCGACATCCTCGCTTTCATCAAGGAAGTACCTACCTTTGACGGAACCCCTAATCAACTGCAAGACTTCATCGTTAATGTGGAAGAAGTGATCACATCTATGCAAGGAATCGACCAGACACCGTACAGCTCCCTTCTACTAAGAGCTATCAGGAATAAAGTCATAGGAAGAGCTAATGACGCGTTAAAACTGTGCGACACTGGACTCATCTGGAATGACATTAAGGCTAATCTGATTCAACATTATGGTAACAAAAAAAGTGAAGCTATGCTTATTCACGATTTGCAAAACATTTCTGATAACTTATCTTTAGGTCAACTTTTTTATGGTATTTTGAAAATAAGATCTCAATTAACAGACAAATTACGAAACGCAAATCAATACTCGACCGACAAAGCTAAACTCTATGACGAAATTTGCTTGAATACATTTTTAATCCACTTGCGAGAACCTCTTAAAACTTCAGTAAAATCAAAAAATCCGCAAGATATTAACGAAGCCTACGAATATTGCCGTATAGAAAAGACCTTCTATTCTCAAAAACCAAATAACACTCAGAAAATTAGAGCACAAATAACACCATATTCACGCCCCCAAAATATAAAAAATCATCCTAACAATAACCCACAGTATAACAATAGAAGCAATTCATATAGAAATTCTGCAGCCATCACTCAGCCTAACTATCACAATAATAATAGAAATTCAACTCTAAATCCTTTCAACTCAACAATCACCCCCAACAATCAATTACATAATATTAATGAACAACAATCATCAACTGAACTTTGCAATATCAACGACGCAGAAAATTTTTTCAAAACTGCCTCCAAGACTCAACAGGGTACTTAACAAAAAGAACACATGGCTCAACACTACCATTCATATGGATTAATTCCATCACAAACCAACCCATCAAATTTTTAATAGATACAGGTTCCACAAATTCATTTATAAGCCCAACTTTAGTTTCCAATGTCGATCGCAAAACTCTCAATAATCCTGTAACTATCCAGACTGTCTTAAATCAACATGTCATTAGAGAAAAAACCATTATTCAATCGCTTACAGAGTTTAAAGAAGAAATGATTTTGGAGTTTCTTCTTTTCGACTTTCATCCACATTTTAAAGGCCTGTTTGGAATGGATATTCTAAGAAAATTAAAAGCCAATATTAATCTAGCCTGTTTTTGTCTTGAAACTCCAAAATCATGTTTAAAAATTTGTATACAAGACAATCCAGTAACCGAAGTACATGTTATACCCGCTCTATCAAAAGTCTTAATAAATCTTCCAGTCCAGTTGAAGCAAGGTGATTTTTACAGTCAAGAAACAATTTATAACAAAAACTTGAATATATCAGAAGGACTATACAAATCAGCTAACGGATATAGCAATATGTTAATTACAAACAAGTCCCACGAAGATCAGCCACTATATTTGGAACAGCCATTAAAAACCACCCCCTATAATCAAAATCAATTTGTTGAAATATACAATATAGCCTCAGATAATCAAAATCCTCAACATATCCACAAACCAATCACCACATTAAGAACCGACCACCTTAACTCCGAAGAGAAAATCGCGCTAACACAACTTTGTAGTAAATACATAGACATTTTCTATGACGATAGTCAAAAGTTAACGTTCACCAATGACATTAAACACTATATACACACAACTGATAATACGCCAATCTTTGTCAAATCCTATCGCTATCCTTTCGCCTTAAAAGAGGAAGTAAAAAACCAAATAGAGTCAATGCTGAAACAAAATATAATTACAACCAGCTATTCACCTTGGAGTGCCCCAGTTTGGGTAGTTCCAAAAAAAAACAGGCCCAAATGAAAAACGAAAATGGAGGCTAGTTTTAGATTATCGTAAACTCAACGAAAAAACAACTTCAGACCGCTACCCCATTCCGAATATAAACGATATTCTAGATCAACTCGGTAAATCCACCTACTTCTCAACGCTCGATTTAGCCAGTGGATTTCACCAGATTGAAATGAACCAAGCGGACAGATATAAAACAGCCTTTACAGTAGAAAGTGGTCACTTTGAGTTCGTCCGTATGCCGTTCGGGTTGAAGAACGCTCCTGCAACGTTTCAAAGAGTAATGGACCATATCCTTAGAGATCTTGTAGGTTCCATCTGTCTGGTTTACTTGGACGATATTATAATTTTTTCGACATCTCTGCAAAAACATCTGACTGACATTAAACAAGTTTTTGATAGGCTCAGATCCGCTAACTTTAAATTACAAATTGCAAAATCTGACTTCCTTCGAAAAGAGGTTAATTTCCTAGGCCACATAGTGACTCAAGATGGTGTTAAACCTAATCCCAACAAAATAAAAGCCATTCAGGAGTTCCCCATCCCAAAAACCAGGAAACAAATTAAATCATTTCTAGGGCTCCTTGGGTATTATCGAAAATTCATTAGGGACTTTGCACGCATAACAAAGCCCCTAACACAGCAATTAAAAGGCACAAAAGCGGTAACCATTGATGAAGAATACTGTAAAGCCTTTGAGTTTTGTAAGACATTACTTTGCAACAATCCAATATTGGTTTACCCAAATTTCAACAAACCTTTTATATTAACCACTGATGCAAGCAATTATGCCATTGGCGCTGTTTTATCACAAAAATTAGCTGGAAATGACAAACCTATTTCTTATGCAAGTCGTACATTATCTGATGAAGAAACACGTTATTCTACGACAGAAAAAGAAATGCTTGCAGTTTACTGGGCAGTAAAACACTTTAGGCCTTACTTATTCGGAAAAAAATTTATCTTAGTCTCGGATCATAAGCCATTAACATGGAACACAGGGCCATTTTCCACCAACGATAAAGTTGCCCGTTGGAAATTGCAGTTATTGGAATACGAGTTTGAATTTCAATACAAAAAAGGCTCTCAAAACGTGGTTGCAGATGCACTTAGTCGTATCCGTTCCGAAACAGACATTAGCGTAAACCATATAGACGCAGAAATTTCTAATAACCTTTCAACCAACATCCCAACTATTGAAAAACCACTTAACGACTTTAACTTGCAGATTGTTTTAACTGAGGGCATTCCTGCTTCTTGTAAGGTTTCTACTCCCTTTAAAAATAAATTAAGGCAAACAATCACCGAACCCAGCTTTACCACAGATATTGTACTGGACATCTTAAAGAAAACATTAAAACCAAACAGGATATGCACAATTTACACATCAGACAACATTTTTAAGATAGTGCAAGATGTGTTTTCTAAAGAGTTTTC